GAGCTTCTTTTATATACGTTGCATACCTAAACTTTCTCATTTTTTTTATTGCTTTTTTGTTTTTGATTATTTTATCTTTAATTTTTATCATATTTTTGTTATTTTTTTGTTAAAGTATTATTACTAGTAATTTTAAATTTCTATTTTAAATATATAATCACAATTATTACCTTTAACTTTACTATAATTATTCCTATTTTAATATTTTCAATTTAAGTAACTGTATTGTGTCCTTGTTAGTTGTTACGTTTTTTCAGTCAACTGTTTGTAACTAACTCACAGGGCCGACGACACGAGGAGAGAGAGCCAGGGGCCCACTTTTTTCCGGAGGACTTTTTTTTTTTTAAGAAAAGATTTTTTTTAAGAAAATAAATTTTTTTTTAAAATATAGAGGACTTTTTTTACAAATTGATGATTTTGCCCCCCTACTTCAAAACCCGTGTCGTCGGCCCTGACTCATATGTATATTTAGCTATTGCATTTATGAATAACATGTGGCTTATAATTTTGATTATTATTGTTATAATAATTTATGTTATAATTGTTATTGTTATTGTTATTTTTTATTATTATTGTGGTTCTTATGTTTATTACAATAAATATTATTTTTATCTTATAATTATTACTAATTATATATATAAAGATCTGTATTTTTGGTGTTTACTTAAAACTAGTAGAATTACTATTTGTAAATATCCATAAAATTATTTTTCAGAATAAATATTATTGATTGATTGATGATTAATTGATTGATTTACTGATTCAATAGCTAAATTTTTTTTTAGGTAGGAAGCCTGATTTATTCATCGTTTACTTAGTCATATTTTATCAATTTCAAAAAATCCAAAAGGTTAAGAACACTTATTTTTAACAACGGTTTTCATGATTTTTTTCATTTGAAAAATTGTCATTAAAATTTTTAAAATCAAATTTTATAAAGAGCTGTTGTAGTTTTTTGAAAAAAGTTGTTGTAAAAATTGCATAACCTTATTTTGAATTGCTAATTTCATTTTTGTTATTAAATTTCAATTCAATTATAACACAAATTGCTGTTATTTTTTGAACTTATGCAATAAAATTTACAATTGGTTTAATAATAAACTCTGATCATTAACCTTTCAATATACTTAAACAAATTTCCACCTATTCCTCTATAAAAAACTTTAACTTTGTAGTTTTGATATTTTCACTGTAAACAACTTTAATGTTTTCGTGCAACATACATGGAAATGTAAAGCTACAAGAATGAAATGTAAAGCTACAAGAATGAGATGTAAAGCTACAAGAATGTCTATTAAAGAGGTAAGCTGAATGAAGATACATTAAAAAGATTAAAAAAAAAAAAAAAAAAATACGAGCTTGAAGAAAATATATCAAGGAGCATTGACAAGGTACGTTATAAACACTGATTTTATTGTAAATTATATTTTGTTGTATATAAATGAATTTAAAGTAAGAATATCTTCGATTAATTTTTTTATATTTCAATAAATTTTCAGTATAAATCATTTGAAGAGTTGTAAAAAAAATTTAGAGGTTTATAAAAGTATTGAACGAAATGATTTAAATTTAACTATATTTTCTTTTAATTAACTTGTGGAATTAATTTTTTTTAAATTCAATTTTCGTACAAATGGTTTAACGCAGATTTTATTGCGTTTTGTTTTTTGAAAAAAAAAACAAATCCAAAATTGTTTTAACGAGCGTTTATCATTTCACAATATAACCATCTCGGATATTCGATAGTTCTCGTCTCCAAGCTTTCATGATTTTTTTTATATTTGGAGTGAGCCGGTTAAATTTGAACAAGTATATTTGAGCCAGTTACAGGTCTGCCTCTTTTAATGATTTTTTCGGATTATAAATGCTAATAAAAAAATACGATCTTTCCGAAAACCACTCAGAAAAAGAAAGCTTGTGAAAAATTATATTCCAATGAAAACCTGAAATTTTTGTAGATTAAAACTTAATTAGTTTTGCTAAAAAAAACTATTATCTACTTATCTAAAATTATCTATATTTGCCTCATATATGGGCATGCCATAAATACCCATATATGAGGCAAATCTAGATAATGCTTTATCATTTTATGTATTTTGTAAAAACAGTACAAAATTAACTAATACAATAAAACCTGTAGCTGAGAACACAATGATGACACAGCTGAGGAAACAATGATGGATGCACTTGTAAGCGACAAGGTTCTTCGCGTTGTTAGGGTTACGACAAATTGTTATAATATTGCAATTCGCAAAAACAAAAGAAATTAAGAACTACTTAGTAGTAGTTTTATTATTTTTAATTTTATGTTTGTTAGTTTGCACATTACAGGATAAAGCACGCGTATCATTAAAGATTCTGGTTAAAATGTTACTAAAATCCTTCAAAATCTTAGGCTGAAAAAGCGCATAAAGATATACACCCTTGAGTTTAAAAACCATAGCATAATGCTTCACAAATTGTTTTGCATCAATCAGTTATAAAAAAAACCATAATATTTATTTGTTTTTAAAGAAAGTTAAAAAAAATACTCCTAAAGATTAAATTATTATTCAAAAATAATAAGAGATAACTAACTAACTCGATGGCTTTTTATTTCATAATAAGAGCAGCTTATTTTATAAAAAGCCATCGAGTTTTAACATGTTTTTTGGTAAACCTAACAACCAACTAGTTACTAAACCACTACTAAATTAGCAAAAGCTTCACGACTAAAACTATCATTTATACCATCACGACTAAAACTAGGCAGTTTTTTAAAAAAAAGTGAATATTTCTAAAAACAGTTTAAACTTTAGGATGGTTAAATCTACCCCAAACTCAAGAAATATATTGTCCGATATTTTCTTTAGATCCAATGATAAAAGCTTTGTTAACATTTGGTCAGCATGTAAAAGGTATAAAGAATACAAGTCAGTTTCAAATTTAAAATAACATTCAACATCAGAAACTCTGAATAATCCATTGAACTGCATTAGGTTGTTAGATATTTTACTAGGATCTTTACGAATTTTTTTTTCACCTGTATGATGCTTTTGTTAATTAATACCACTGGAAAATATACTAAAAAAAATCTTAAAAAATTAAAATAAGCAAACTTAAATTGTGGTCAGGGTCGTCTCAAAGAGATTTTAAAAGGGATGGGGGGTGTCATGTCTATTTTTTTGCCGACTAAAGCCAAAATATATTTTTTGCCCACTAACTTATTTAAAAAAAAAAAAAAGTTATCGTTTTCCGACATTTGCCGACCACCGTAAATAAATTCAATTGACCGACTAAAAAAATTCGTAGTGGGGCTAGACACTCATCCAGCCCCCCCTCCTTCCTCAGGACGGCCCTGATTGTGATTCACAGCTAAAAACCATTTGAAATTGCTTTCCAAAAATGTTTAGTAAGTGATCATTAATTTAATTTAACCAATGGTAAACTTTAAAAATATAAACTTTATAATACTTTAACTAAATAGTACTTTCAAACATAAACAGATTTTAAATAGATTAATTCTTTATGAATAAGAAAAAAACATAAATGAAAAAATTTAAAACATGATTATTTAATAGATTGATTAAATAATAAAAATATATTTAAAAAATCGTCTATGATTTTTTTTAAAAAAACTTTATACACGACTATATTTTGTAAAATTTAATTTAAAAATTGATTCTCACTATTTTAGCATTTTTATTTAACAAAAATGCATGTTTTCCTTGCTTTGCATGCAGAGAGGGAACTCTTAAATAGCTATTAACTTATTTTTTTATTTGATAAACTAAGTGCTAGACTTCATCATTTTTCCGCAATAAAAAATGAAAATTTACATTTCCCTCACCATATATACAGACCTTTCCCTGGTTTACCTATTTCTATTGTTGGAAAGCCAATTTATGAAGAATTAAATAATGACTTATCAAAAATCGTCTTCATAACCTTACAAAAAAAAAAAAAAAATATTTTTAAACGACAATATAAAAGGTATACCAAAAGATGAAATTTTTACTATAAATGCGTTTTATTGCATTATGAGTTTAAACGGACAGATTTTTTTAAAATTAAATAAAGTCTTAGAATATGTCAACGAAGTCACGAAATTCGAATATGTCAACGAAGTCACGAAATTCGATCACTTTTATTATCCTGATTTTAGTCCAATAAATGAATTTATTAAAAATTTATGTGAAAAATTTGTGCCACTTATTTCACACTTTACAAAACTAAGTTTCCAAAAAAGATATATTCTATTTTTTATGAAGAATTAAGTTTACTAAATTAAACCAAATTTAAAAAGTAAAATTAATTAAGTAAATTAAATTAAACAAAATTTTTATAAACTAATTTTTTGAAAATAATGTCCACATCTTTAGTTACATGGGTCTTTACTTTATTAGCATGGATCTTTCATTATTTATCATTACTTTAACTAAATTGGGTGTTTATAAAATATTAATAATTAATTAATAAGTCTTTAAAATATTAATAATTAAGGGGCTTCCCACGTTGTCTTTACCCTAGGGGTTTTTAATTTTAACACAGGACGTATTCGCCTTAAAAAATAGGCAGTCTTAATACTTCAATTACTGAAAAAAGTTAGCAAAAATAAAAAACCGCTAAGTAAACTTTAGAAAACCAAAACATAAAAACAATTTCAGAAATTTTTTTCGACTAAACCAATTATTAAATTTTGAGCAATTACAATAGGCAATTATTGTCATGTAAAATGATTGACTCATTCAATTAAACAACTAAACAAAAAAAGCGTTTGACTAACTTAAGAACTTATACGAAACTTATTCGAAAATTATTGTAAAAAAGTAATGCGATCACTTATCTCGGCCAAAAAAAAAAAAAAATTAACATATTACAAAAAAAAATTTGACTGTGTAAAAAAGTATTTAAAATGTTTCTTAGTAAAAAAATAAAGCTATCAACTTGATTAATAGAAAATATATTATATATTATAAAACTATAGTAAAAAATATATATAGCTATCAATTAACTTGATAGAAAAAAATATAGTCACTAACTATCTTCAAAAATACAAAAATATATATATATTTACGTAAATTCGAAATTAAATGTTAAATTATCGCTAAAATCTATTATTTAACTGGTACAAATACATTCATAAATGATTGATAAAGACCAATACCAAGCAATATTACTCCAAACACAAGTAATAAGAAAGCCGAAACTTTTTTAAAATCAGGTTGTTCAGGATGTTTACGTATTCGAAGATAAAATGCAGGAGGAATTATATATATGAGTGTTGTACATCCGACTGAACCAACAAAGCCCCATATCATGTTTACCTGCAAGAAATATAATTTTAAAGGTACACTGTAAAAAGTAATTTTTTAACTAGATAACATTGTAAATTAAAAAACTAATACGAGTAAATTAGGTTTCACATATGCAAGTATCACTTGGGTCAAGTTCTTAACACATGCAGGTATTACTTGTGTCAAGTTATTCATACATACAGATATTACTTATTTTAAGTAATACAACATTTTTAATATTAAAAAAAAAAAAATATTAAAAATGTTTAAAAAAAAAAATATTAGAAATGTTAAAAAAATGTTAAAAAAATATATATTAGAAATGTTTAAAAAAAAATATTAAAAATGTTTTAAAAAAAATATATTAGAAATGTTAAAAAAAAAATATATTAGAAATGTTAAAAAATTAATATTAGAAATGTTTAAAAAAATATTTTAGAAATGTTAAAAAAAAAAAATTAGAAATGTTAAAAATAAAATATTAGAAATGTTAAAAAAAAAATATTAGAAATGTTTAAAAAAAAAAAAAATTGGAAATGTTAAAAAAATATATATTAGAATTGTTTAAAAAAATTATATTAGAAATGTTAAAAAAAAAATATTAGAAATGTTTACAAAAAAAAAAATTAGAAATGTTAAAAAAAAAAATATCAGAAATGTTTAAAAAAAAAAATTAGAAATGTTAAAAAAATATATATTAGAAATGTTAAAAAAAATATATGTTAGAAATGTTTAAAAAAAAAATTAGAAATGTTTAAAAAAATATATATTAGAAATGTTAAAAAAAAAATATTAGAAATGTTAAAAAAAAATATTAGAAATGTTAAAAAAAAATATATTAGAAATGTTAAAAAAAAAAAAATGAGCATTTAAAAACTACTGCTTATATTCAAGCTGAAAAAATAATTGAATCTGGAAATGAACAAAAAATTTAAAATTTTATCGACAAAATGATTTTATTTTAGTATCAAAGGTATTTTGTACAGCCTATTACGTTGCAAAACTCAATCAACCCTACGCGGCCATTTTTTTTCTAAACCTGTGAACAAATATTGCACACGGGTTAGAATCAAGGAATAGTGCAACAAATATAATAGAACATATTGCAAAACCAAATTTTAAAAATGTAACAAATTATAAGTTGATAAAAATGTAACAAATTATAAGTTGATGGAAATGTTTCATTAATAATTGATGAGTCTACAACATTGATAATGAACTTTAGTATTTTTAAAATATGAAATTTCTGAATTTGAGTTGAACTATCTAATCAAACCACAAATATTATAACGCAAACTCTGTTGGAGTGTCTTGAAAAATATGGATTTACTGATGATTATCTAAAATAGCAGTAACCGAAATCAGTTTTTAAGTAGTCTTATTAGTATATAAAACATAGACTGATTGGTAGCACAAACAGAACTGAAGGAAATCAAGGTATTTTATACATTTATTATTCATCTATTATTAACGAATTAAGACTATTGGAACAAAGTCGGATTTGAGATTTATAGAGATGGAGAATAGAATCTGGAGTAAGAAAGTGTCGAGCTCCATAAAGAGATACAACTTTAGCAGATGCTAATTTTGCAACGGATTTAATATATGGTTTCCAAGAAAAATCAGAAGTAAGAGTTAATCCTAGAAGATGAAGGGTAGATGACTCATCAAGTACATTACCATTCATAAATATAAGATCTAAATTATTGCGATAACGATTAGCTGAAAATTTTTTAATTTGAATTAAAGTTCACCAGCCACTGTGAGCCCCATGTTGTAGCAGAAGTAAGATCTTTTTCAAGCTCAAATGCCCCCTCCAAGTAATCAGAGAAAGTTGGTTTAGAAATGTGAAGAGCAATGGCCTTAACCTCTCCACCTTTATCTAATGCACGATAAAACCTATTTATTATTAATGTTAGCAAATCAGCCATAGAACAAGAAGATCGAAATCCATATTAATCAGAAAGTAAGTTATTAGATTCAAACAGTTGTTGAATAGTTTTGAAAAGGTATGTTATCCGGACCACAAGCTGTAGAAGAGTCTAAGCAGGAAATCACTTTAGATACTTTAGATTTTTTTTGAATGTAGACATCATGTATGAGAGTATGTAAACTATTATTTTAAAACAACAATAAATACAATTTTCTCTTTATACTAAATTTATTTAAAAAAAAATAATTTTACTGGATTGTTGTGACCAGAGTCTTCAGTTTAAAAGTTTTTTGTTTGTTTTTGTTTATGTTATTTTTATATATTATTTTTATAATTGATTATGGTTTTGTCTTTTTCTGACGTAAGTGCGCAGGAAATGGTGTCCAAAATTTTGTTGACACATATTGTCTATCATCTAAATTGATACCATTTTGTTGAGGGACACAATGGTGGTACTGTATTTCAAGTATAAAACACAATGTACTGTATTTCAACTATAAAACACAAAAAACCACAGTCATCACCAAGTTCGCTAAACCTATCATTCACCAATATTCGTGGTCTTTGAAGTAACTTTTTTTCTGTTGAGTCTTATCTCCTGCAAAGTTCACCAGACCTACTTGCTCTTTGTGAGACTAATTTGAGTTCAGCTGTCTCATCTTGTGATCTTAGTGTTGATGGTTATCTTCCTTTAACTCGTAAAGACTCCAATAGTCACATGCTTGGCCTAGGCATTTACATTCGTAAGAATTCACCCATTTGTCGAGAAACAAGGTTTGAATCCACAGACTACTCTTTTATGTGCTTTCATTTAGCACCACTTCACTCTATCACCTTTCTCTTTGTTCTATATCGCTCTCCCTCATCTCAAGACTGCACTCTTCTTGATAATATTTCTGATTATATTGACCAAGCCCTCATTCTTTATTCATCAGGCAATATTGTTGTTGTCGGTGACTTTAATGTTCATCACACTGAATGGCTTGGCCCTAGTGTCAGTGACTCTGCAGGCATTAAGGCCCACAACTTTTGTCTTTCTCAATCCCTAACTCAAATAGTCAACTTTCCAACTCGCTTTCCAGATAACCCGAATCATTTACCTTCTCTACTCGACTTATGTCTTGTTTCTGATCCTAGTCAGTGCTCAGTTTCTTCACACTCACCCTTAGGTGCTTCTGATCATGGTTTGGTCTCTCTAAAACTATTATCTCATTCTTCTTTACCATCAGAATCCCCCTATCATCGTATATCTTACAACTACCTTAAAGCTGACTGGGACTCTTTCCGTGATTTTCTTTGTGATGGCCCCTGGGTAGAAATCTTTCGTCTCCCTGTTGACAAATGTGCTTCTTACATAACTTCGTGGATTCAGGCTGGCATGGAATCCTTTATTCCCTCTCAACGATTCCAGGTCAAGCCTCACTCTTCTCCATGGTTTTCCTCACTCAATAATATCAATAATAAGGGCAAGTCTGTAATTCCACCTCTTTTGTACAGTTCGACTTTGTCACCTCACCTAAAGACAAAGCTGAATTGTTTGCCAAGAACTTTTCATCAATATTATCTCTTGATTCCACTAGTTGCGTTCTACCTGATATAGCCGTCAAACAGGTTGATCCATTGCTTGACATTCGTATCACTCCAGCTTCTGTGTCTAAAGTGATTTCCCACTTAGACTCTTCTACAGCTTGCGGCCCGGACAACATACCTGTTATAGTCTTGCAGAAGTGTTCTTCCCAGCTGTCGTCTATCCTTTCAAAACTATTTAACAAGTGCTTATCAGAGTCTTGTTTTCCAGCCTGCTGGAAAGCAGCATCTGTTATCCCTATTTTTAAAAATTCTGGAGAGCGATCCAATTTGTCTAATTACTGTCCCATTAGTCTTCTTTCTATTATAAGCAAGGTTTTTGAATCTTTAATTAACAAACACTAAATCTCTCATCTTGAATCTCATAACCTAATTTCTGATCATCAATATGGATTTCGATCTTCTCGTTCTACGGCTGATTTGCTACCAGTAATAACCTATAGGTTTTATCGCGCATTAGATAAAGGTGGAGAGGTTAAGGCCATTGCTATTGACATTTCTAATGCGTTTGATAAAGTTTTGCATGCTGGTCTTCTCCATAAGCTTTCTTCTTACGGTGTATCTGGAAACACCTTTAAGATTATTGAATCATTCCTTCCCAATCGTAGTATAAAAGTTGTCCTCGATGGACAGTACTCTTCTTCTTATTCTGTAACCTCAGGGGTTCCTCAAGGTTTAATTCTTGTTCCTATACTCTTTTTAATTTACATTAACGATCTTCCAGATATTCTCACATCTAAGGTGGCATTGTTCGCTGATGATACTACCATTTATTCTTGTCACGATAAAAAGCCAACTCCCTCTGATTGCTTGCAGGGGGCATCTGAGCTTGAAAAGGATCTCACTTCTGCTACAGCATGGGGCTCACAGTGGCTGGTGAACTTTAATTCAGATTAAACTCAATTTTTTTCAGCCAATCGTTATCGCAATAGTTTAGACCTTCCTATATTTATGAACGGTAATGTACTCGATGAGTCTCCTACCCTTCATCTTCTAGGATTAACTCTTACTTCTGATCTTTCTTGGAAACCTTATATCAAATCCGTTGCAAAATTAGCATCTGCTAAAGTTGCTTCTCTTTATCGAGCTCGTCACTTTCTTACTCTGGATTCTATTCTCTATCTCTATAAATCTCAAATCCAGCCTTGTATGGAATACTGTTGCCATATCTGGGGCGGATCTTCTAATGATGCCCTTTCTTTTTTAGACAAGGTGCAAAAACGCATTGTAAACATAGTTGGACCTGCTCTTGCAGCCAACCTTCAACCTCTGTCACATCGTCGTAATGCTGCTTCTCTTTCTCTTTTTTACAAATACTATAATGGGCACTGCTCAAAAGAGCTTGCGTCTTTTGTACCATCTACAAAAATTTATTCTCGTGTTACTCGTCATTCAATTGTCTCATCCTTTTTCTGTTACTGTTCCTAAGTGCTACAAAAACTCTTATTTGTCTGGTTTTTTCCTCGAACATCAGTTCTTTGGAATTCGCTTTCTTTATTTTGCTTTCCTGATTCATATAGTTTGCAATCTTTTAAGTCGTCTGTCAATCATTATCTTGCTCTACAATCTTTATCTTTTTCCTTCCAGTAACTTCCAACACTAATTAGTGGTTGCTTGCAGCCTTGTTGGAAGCGAAGATATTTAAATAAAAAAAAAAAAAAGTGCCTCACAAACTTTCCTATCAAACTTTTTACCATCGACTTTTAGACTTTTGCAACTGTCCCAGTTAATTTGTTGTGTACAATGTCTCATGTGTGTGGCTAATGCAGATCGTTCTGTTTTATTTCCTATTGTATTGTTTTTGTGTTGTTGCATGCGTGTTTTTATTTTCTTTTTGTTTCACATATATACTTTTTGCTACAATGACATTTATCAGGGTAGACTCCTGGGTGGCTGTTCATTTGTAGTTTGGATTTATTTCCTGATGTTAATATTGCCTCTAGGTTCAAGTTTGATTTGAAGATCGTTTTATATCCTACCTTCCTAAACACTTAACGCAATTTAGGAGATAATTTTGGTACCCAAAGTAATGAAACTGTTGGATACATACTGGTGATGTTGTTAATGTTTTTAGTAGTCACTAGAAATTTTTTGTACTTTCATTCTATTTCTTTTATAGTTTGTATGAGATTGAGGACAAATTGTAGCCATTTCAACAAATACTTGAATAAGGAATTTCAGTTCATTTTCTATATGTTTCTGACTGCATACATTAAATGCTCTCAACAAAATGGTATCAATTTAGATGATGTACAATGTGTCAAGAAAATTTTGGACACCATTTCTAGCGCACTTACGTCAGAAAAAGACAAAACCATCCCATTGACGCAAAATAGAATTATGTCAATGGGATGGTTTAATATAATTACTGCCAGTGTTAAAAATAACATATAAACAAAAACAAACAAAAAACTTTTAAGCTGAATACACTGGTCACAACAATCCAGCAGAAATTAAAAAAATATATATATATATATAGTATCGAGAAAAAATCGTATTTACTGATGTTTATAAAATAATAATAATAATAATAATAATAATAATAGCAATAATAATAATAGCAATAATAATAATAATAATAATAGTAATAATAATAATAATAATAATAATAATAATAATATATATATATATATATATATATATATATATATATATATATATATATATATACGCATAAACTGTAGATATTACCATAAATAAAAATGATAATACTAATTAACAGTATTCTGATTGCAAAATGATTAGAATTTTTGCAAACATGTTTTTTTTTTTTTAATTTTGCTAATAGCAAGTAAAATTCAATTTTTCTCACTTGTTTTTATTCTAATACCCTAGACATAAAAACCGCCCCTGCTTATAAATTGTAGTGAAAATAAAACTGTGGTGTATAGTTAGAGCATTCACTTTAACAAGAGATACAGAGATCAAATATAAAAGAATTGATAAGTGTTTACTCTTAGGTCAAAGGTAGAGTAATAAACTTGATTACCTGAGGAACAAAATAAGCAAGAATGTAACTAGTTCCAACAATCAAAACTGTTTCCAAGAACCATACAACTTTATTTGGACCACTTAATCTTTCATTTGAAATAATAAAAATAAATCTTGATGCAGAAAGATTTCCATGCCAAATAATCTAGAAAAAAAATTATAACAATAAAAACATAAGTAAAAAATTATAACAATAACAATAAAACTAATATAATGTTAAACGCTAATGTTTATATTAAAGTCAATATTTTAAAAGGAAAAAAAAAATTTCTTTTAAATAATAATAATCTTATTATCACTTTAACAATAACAACATTCAGCATCGATCTTGAAACAGTAAACAGTAGGAAGTGTAGTTAGTTGTAAAAAAAACTGCTATATTTCTTCCATGATGTCATATTAAATAAGAAAATAACATTATAGAAACCACAAACATGTGGAGGTGTTAAATATAAAAAAAAAACAGCAGTTATGGTGTATCTCAGAATACATGATACATGTACTCTGATATGGTACCTTGATAAATAAAAATATTTACATTTAGTTGAAATGTTAGAAAGTGCAAAGAAAATCATTAACCAACTTTTTAAATTTTTTATATTATTACACAACAAAAATATATTACATTTAACAATAATATTACACTATTTTATCAAACAAAACAAAAAAATAAACCAACCTTATTTAATGTCAGACGACAAGGTACAATTAATAGTGGGTAGCCTAATAAAAGTACAAGACATAACGCAACTCGACCAACATTTATGATATTATCATTATGTGGATAATTCTTGGTAAAATCTTGTTCTGTTGACTTGCGAAACTGAAATTTTAAAAAATTTGTTTTTTATTTTATTCCAAATTTAAAAAAATACATAGTAAAATAATGATTTAAACTTATTGTATATTAGCTAAATAACTATTTGACTTAATGTATATTAGTTAAATAAATAAAATGATTGCTTACCTGAAAATAGGCAAAAAAACTGACTAAAAAATTAACAAGATATGTCAGACCCATAGATATAAACAAAATCAATCGTTTGTTTCTTCTTGTTTGATGACGAAGTTCGCTGTGCATGGGAAGAATATTGAAATGACATGAAAATGTAAGCTCTGATATTGAAATGCATGTAAAAAATTCTCGAAATGATTTTGGTGTCAGTTTTATTGGGTTATTAACATTGTTAAAAGCACCACCAATACCTTCAGATAATGATCGATATGTAACAGATACACATATTAGCAAACCACAAATTACACTAAATGTTTTTATAAAAAATTTATTGTAATAGAGTTAATATTTAGAAAAATAACTGTATATATAAACAAATAAATTTTAAAAAAAAAGAAGTGATTTTCTACTATCTATCTTATTATTGCTTTGTACTTTTAAGAACATTAAGGATTTTATTTCGTAGAATACATTTTGAATATATTTTGTTTGCAAATTTTTGTCTATTTCACTTTCCCTGTAATAAAGACAGAACCAAATAGAATAAATGAATAAGTTTAAAATGAACAAATTTAAAAAACTTGGAGAGTAAAAAATATATAGAAACAAAAAAAAAATATTACAAATTGAAATGAAAACAAATCCAAATTGAGCACAATGAGCTGAAAGAAAAAAACACAATGAGCTGAGAGAAAACAAAACAGCGTGACAATCATAAACTGTTACTAAAACCTATTAAAATTTTTACCATTATCAAAAACATTTTAATTTTTTTCAGGTTCTTATCAAAACATCAAAAGTCTGTGTAAATGCTTTTAGCCTACCCAAAAAACCCAGACTAGGCATGAAAAAAAAATGTTGCAGGCTAAGTGGGCAACTTGCCTAACCTGCAACATTTGTTTTAGAAAACTTTTGATTGCTCCTGCAGTCATTAACTTTCACTGAGGCTTGTATTTAGAAGAAACATCATTAGTTAATGCTTTACCTAAAAACTCAGAACATAAACAATAAAATGTTTTTACATAACTGTTTGTGTAATTCCAAAAGCAAACATGTAGATTCACTTAACTTTTCTTTAGAAATGTTGTTATAAAATTTATCAAACAATATGGTATAAAGAGAGACTTTGTTCTAATTTAGCATTGTTTCAGAACAGAAATAACACCATGACATATAAAGTAACTGCATTTTACTTTTCCACAAGTAAAAGTTTAATTTTAAATTCTGATGAGCAGAACAAATATTTTTGTCAAAATATCATTTTGAAACTTCTAATGACCAGATTATATCATTGTCTTTTTATTACATTATATCTTTAATGTCAGATCTTGTTAAACAGATTAATCATATCAATCAAATTCATTTGCTTTTGACTGTTTTAGTAGAAAAATTAATTCAGATTTTTTTTTAATTTTATTATCTTATTGTTATCTGATATCTTTCTACATGTTTCTTCTATTTAACATGCTGTTTTATATTCCCTTATTTGAATGCTGCAGGACTTCAAAAAAGCTTTATAAAATACATTTGTGTTACCCTACCTTTACTTATTTTGCAACCAATATTTGAAATCTACTTTAAAAAGCCACCAATCTTAAAATTTAATTTTACAGTATTTTTAGTTTTTTTAATTCTAATTCTCTTCCAACAAGGCTGCAAGCAACCACTATTAAGTTAAAAAGCAAGGAAATAATGGACAGAAGACTTGAAAAGTTGATATATAATGTATGAGTCAAGAAAACATGAAGATGGAAGATGGTTACAAAGTGCAGGGAAAAAAACTAGACTAATAAAAGTTTTGCATGCATGGGAAGATGTAGTAAAAGAATGAGGCTTTGCTGAATAACGAGTCAAGCAAGAATGAGTTTTAGTTGACAGAACTAGAGATGATAGCTTCTTTGAGCAGCTACCATGATAGTACTTGTAGAAAAGAGAAAAAGATGCAACTTTATGACAATAGAAGAGACACTTAAGCTTGGCAGATAAAAGGAGCGTCTTTATCTATAAATGTTTACAATTAATTTTTTTACCTTGTAAAAGGGAGAAAGCATCATTAGAAAAACAAGCCTAAATATGACAACAGTATTCCAAACAGGGGCAAATAAGAGATTTGCAGAGGTAGAGAATGGCATCAGGAGTAAGAAAATGGGAAGCATGATAAAGAGAAGCAGCCATATTAGGTGCTAACTTTGCAATCATGTGTATATGAGGTTTACATGAGAGGTAAGTAGTAAACTCAAATTCAAGAAGATGTAAAGAAAAGGACTCAGTGAGAGAGTTGTCATTCATTAATATAGGAATGTAGACTATATTGAGATTGTTTTTTGCAGTAAATACTATTTTTTTATTTTTTTATAAAGTTGAGTCATCAGCAAATAAAATCACTTTAGGTGTAAAGTTGTCAGGAAGATCATTAATGTAGATAAAAAACAAACCAAGACCAAGGATAAAACCTTGAGGTACCACAGAAGTTACTCAAAATGAAGTAGAATGTTGGCCTTTGAGGATGACTTTAATAAAGTGGTTAGGGCTATTGCTCTTTAGATGTGTCAAGAGCAATAGTCTTAGCAATAACAATTCAGCAGAAGATCGAAAACCATAATTGACTGACAGTAAGCTATTTGATTTATAATGGAATGCTAGAAATTTGTTGATCAAAGATTTAAAGACCTTACTAATAATAGAGAGAATACTGATTGGATAAGAGTTAGAGGGTTTAGAATGTTCTCCAAAGTTTTTAAAAATTGGAACCATAGATGCCATTTTTCAGCTGACAGGAAAACAAGATTTAGTGAAGAGCTTATTAAATAGTTTAAAGAGAATTGAAGAGAGTTTTGGAGAACACTTTTGTAAGACTATGACCAAAATGTTTTTTTGGACCATAAGCCACGTTTATCTCGGACATTCGCTAAATCGGACAAAATATATACACCCATTCAAAGTCTGAGTTAATGGGATTCTACTGTAGTAGTTGCACAAGAAGGTAAAAATTATGAAGTAGAATTATGAAGCTTGACTTAAAACCAGCAAGAAGGAATAAGCTTCTGTACCTGGCTGGATCCAGGTTATGTAGGAGCCACATTTATCAGCAGAGAGAAAAAAGACATTAGCCCAAGGACAAAAAGAAAATCATAAAAAACAAATCCCAATAAGACTATCTGAGTAAGAGATTGATAAATACAGAAGTTATGGGCTTTAGTGCCAGCAGGGTAAATAGAAATAGCATGGCTTTATTCAGAATGGAATTTATTCAGAAATTCCATCTAAAAGAGTGCAGTCTTGTGAAGAAGGAGAATGATAAAGAAAAATGAAAAAGACGAAACCACATAAAAAAATGTTACTTGATATACTTGAGAATAATATTTTAAAATATCGTCAGTCAAATGTTTGTTTTGTTTTTATGGGTTACGTATTGTGAAATAAGAGGTTTTAAAAAAGATTTATACAAAATAGTTAAGGTCTCTTAAAGCATAAAAATTATATGGCTCTGCAAATTTCTACCTTGTATACTTTGAAAGTGTACAAGGAAATATAATTTAAATTACAATACATTAAAAATATAAATTTTGTTTTTATTAATTATGATAATTTAACCAACATGTCTAATAATTAAGTAATGTTTCAAAATATTGTTCAATTTTTATGTTGCATTCTCAAATGTTATGTTAGAAAATAATTTTTTTTTTTGAAATAAGTAATATCAGAGAAACATTTTGTTGAAATATATATATATATATATATATATTATATATATATATATATATATATATATATATATATATATATATAAATATATATATATATATATATATATATATATATATATATATATATATATATATATATATATATATATATATATATATATATATATATATATATAGTTTCAGTGGAAAAATCAGCGTTGTCACCTTTTAAAAGTTTTGAGAAAATATTTATTGATCATTAGTAAATGTTTTTATACTAGGCAAAGAAAATTAAAGATGAGAAAAGAAAATCAATATTTTGATTAATTTATTTAAAGTTTAACTATAAAAAAAATTTATATAATTTTTATTAAAAATTCTTTTTTTTTGTTGCTTTATATAAAGACTTTTATTAATGATCAATAAATATTTTCTCAAAACTTTTAAAATGTGACAACGCTGATTTTTATATATATATATATATATATATATATATATATATATATATATATATATATATATATATATATATATATATATATATATATATATATATATATATATATAAACATATATAAACATATATATATATATATATATATATATATATATATATATATATATATATATATATATATATATTATATATATATATATATATGTTTATATATATATATATATATATATATATATATATATATATATATATATATATATATATATATATGTTTAAATATATGTGTATATATATATATATATATATATATATATATATATATATATATATATATATATATATATATATATATATATATATATATATATATATATATATATATACATATTGTAATCCCAGTTAAAAATACCTCAGCATAGAAGTATATTTCAATGCAGATAGATTTTTAAACAGTGAAATAGGAAATACAATAGCTGCACAGATAGATAACAAAACAAGTTTTTTAGTCCACAAACTTTTATTTCCAACTATCAATTGAATTAGTGGTTCAATCTAAAAAATTGAGTTATAAAAAATAACAAAACAACACAGGTATCAATAATGTATTAACAATTTGTAATTTATGGTTTAAAATAAAGATTAAAAAAATTATTAATTTATAAGTAATAAGTATTAGTGATACTTTGCAGAACACTTCCAGTGATGCAATAATATAAGCCTAAACCCTACTCTGTTCCTGGCAGTTGGATTTGTTTTGCTTTAAAAAAGTTCATTAAAAACACTAAAAACCAAAGTGACAGAATTTGACACAAAGTTTTTCTGATAAATGTTGAATAAGTTTTAAACTAAAGATATTAAAAATTGATGTTGCAGCTGATTTTTTACACATATGTTTTGGTTCGGTAAGCAATAATTGTTTTATATTTTTGTAGTATTTAATAGAAAAACTTTAAATTTTCTTCTTTATATTGTTTTTGTTCTTTGTTTATTTTATTTTTATCATTTTAATGTAGTTAGTTTTTGACAACTGTCTAAATTTATCTTGTTTGAAAACTAATTCTCCTTTATCATTTTAAACTAAAGCACTTATTTTTTACAGTTTCTCTTCTATTGTCTTTGATCCTGGCCTTTCATCAGTTTCTTTTTTGTTGTCTCTGATCCTGGTCTTTCCCCAATTTCCCTTCACTCTACCTTAGTCTACCTTAGTTTAGATCATGAACTGCCTTAAAGAGTAAATTTACTACTTTAAAACTGACTTTTTGCAATTTTTCAATTTTTTTGTGATGTCTTGTTGTTCTGCCTAAAAATGCACCTCATATGTTGTCACTGGGATACTCATATGTTGTCACTGGGATACTCATATGTTGTCACTGGGATACTCATATGTTGTCACTGGGATACTCATATGTTGTCACTGGGATACTCATATGTTGTCACTGGGATACTCATATGTTGTCACTGGGATACTCATATTTATTCTTAAGCCTGTTTTCTCTTTCATGTGTTGCTGCTTTTTTAAGAAATTTCAAAAACAAAATCAAACAAAATCAAACAAAAGATCTTGACTTGATCTTGCCTGATTTTGTTTTCATACTGGTGTTGAAAACTGTTAAAAGCTGACACAAGATCTTTCTCGATGAGCTTTTTAAACTTCCATAAAAAATAAGTATTTTTGAATAGATGATCAGCCACAACATTTCATTAAAAATATAAAGACATTATATTACATATACAACTCATATATTGCATATATAATACAGGTAATGCAAATAATAAAGAGAAAAATAAAAGCAAAATAAGTTATGACAAATTTACCTTTTTTTTGTTTAAAACTAATTTGATGTTTAAATTTTTCAAATTTAATATTTAAATATAAATCTTAATTATAAAGTCATCAAAATGCTAAATTTGCTGGAGATGCATTTAATATTGGTGAAGCCTATAACATTTTTTCTTTTCAAAAACTGTTTGCCAAGTGGAAAACAAAGAGCACATACTTGCACAGTACAATGATTGCTTTGGTAATGAACACCACATACATGTATAAAATTTTTGAATTATACAATGATAAACTAAAAATTGCAAACTACAAAACTACAAACACTAATAAGTTTTACAGTGCATGTCCCAACTTTCATTGAGCTTTTAGTATCTTACAGTGAAAAACTATTTTTTTGAGAGCAGAAAGCCACTATACAAGGAACCGACTAACAATTACAATGTAAAAAATAACAAGATATGCACAATGGTGTAACAAATCTACCTTATACTTGCAGCGTCTTATGTCTTGTAAGTTTACAGATTATGGGGAAAACAAGTTTGGTGCAAAGAAGTGTAGTACAGACACTAACTACACAACAATACTCAAGCAGGAAGAGTTCAACCTTCAATACCTTAAAAATTCTTGTTCATTTATCAACCAACATTCTAGTTATTTCTTATTAACTTTTTGTATTAAAACTTTTTTATTGTATTTCAAAAACAGAATTAAAAAGTTTTTTGTATATTAGATAAATGATATTATATATCATTTATCTAATATACAAAAATAATATACAAAAATATATTATAGTTTAAAAGTTGTCTTGGCTTGTAAACTTTAACAGTTTTTTTCAGCTAATCCTTATTGCAATAATCTAGATCTTCCTATATTTATGAACAGTAATGTACTCGATGAAAGATCTACCCTTCATTTTCTAGGATTAACTCTAACTTCAGATCTTTCTTGGAAACATATCAAATCCATCACAAAATTAGCAAATTTCATCTTGTCTCTTCCAGTAACTTACAACTCTAATAGTGAATGTTGCTTGCAGCTTTGTTGGAAGTGAAGATGTTAAAAAAAAAAAAAAAAGGAAAATTAAAAAAAAAAAGGTTTAATAATTGTTATACCTAGGAATTCATAGTTTAATTAGTTTTTTCTTAATTTAAAAAAAAAAAAAATTACTCTCATATTTCAGCATTCTAAGAACATTTTTACAACTCTGCATCAAAAAGGAGTTCATATTCTCATTTTCATATTTTTTGCACCTCTTGCTTTTGTCCACAATGATATTAGAAATTTTATATTAAAGTTTTCCTTCAACATTTTGATGTAGGTTTAGTTTAACATCATGAATGAAATAAATCTTGATGAAAAATACTCTAAAAGTTAGAGAAATAAATAGCTAATCACTAATCATCTATAATAAATAATAATGTAATAAATTCTTTTTTGTAGTATTAATATATACTCGTTTTTTAAAGCCACTGACAAAAGTTGATAAGCCATGCAAGTTTTTAAGTTAAACCTAAGATTCACATTTCAAAAAAATAATAATATCAAGGCAGAATAAACTTACCTGATCTGTCATTAAAATAAAATATGCTACTGAGCATAAGTATAAAACGAGAAATAAAAGTGTTTGCACAGCAACCTAGAAAATAAAACAGCAAATAATATCAAATATTTATTTTAAATGTACTTTTAAAGTACTTGTTTTATGTATCAATATATATATGTATATATATATATATATATATATATATATATATATATATATATATACATATATATATATATATATATATATATATATATATATATATATATATATATATATATATATATATATATATATATATATATATATATATATATATATATATATATATATATATATTAGCCCCGGGCCCCAAGAAGTCTTAATCTGCCACTGCCTAGGCACCCAGGACAGTGTGCTTCTTGGCTACCACAGCCCCGCACTGGGCTCTAACTTCACATTTGCTACTTAGTAAGTGGAGCCAGAGATGGTAGAGGTGCGGGGTTTCCTAGGGCTGCCTGGCCCACGAGGCCCTAGGCAGCCTATATATATATATATATATATATATATATATATATATATATATATATATATATATATATATATATATATATATATATATATATATATATATATATATATATATTTTTTTTTTTTTTTTTTTTTTTTTTTTTTTTTTAACATCTTCACTTCCAACAAGGCTGCAAGCAACCACTATAAGAGTTGGAAGTTACTGGAAGAGAAAAGAAAAAATCTGTAGAGCAAGATGACGATTGACTGATGACTTAAAAGATTGCAAATTATATGAATCAGGAAAGCAAGATGAAGGAAGCGCATATCAAAGAACTGATGTTCGAAGAAAAAAACTAGAAGAATAAGAGTTTTTGAAGCACTTAGGAACAGTCACAGAAAAAGGATGAGACTTAATTGAATGGCGAGTAACACGAGAATGAATTTTAGTAGATGGCACAAGGGACGCTAGCTCTTTAGAGCAGTGCCCATTATAGTATTTGTAGAAAAGAGAAAGAGAAGCAACATTACGACGATGTGACAAAGGTTGGAGATTGGCTGCCAGAGCAGGTCCAACTATGTTTACAATTCGTTTTTGCACCTTGTCTAAAAGAGAAAGAGCATCATTAGAAGATCCGCCCCAGATGTGGCAACAGTATTCCATACAGGGACGGATTTGAGATTTATAGAGATAGAGAATAGAATCTGGAGTAAGAAAGTGTCGAGCTCAATAAAGAGATGCAACCTTAGCAGATGCTAATTTTGCAATGGATTTGATATACGGTTTAAAAGAAAGATCAGAAGTAAGAGTTAATCCTAGAAGATGAATGGTAGATGACTCATCTAGTACATTACCATTCATAAATATAGGAAGATCTAAATTATTACGATAACGATTGGCCGAATAAAATTGAGTTTTATCTGAATTAAAGTTCACCAGCCACTGTGAGCCCCATGCTGTAGCAGAAGTGAGATCCTTTTCAAGTTCAGATACCCCCTCCAAGCAATCAGAGAGTGTAGGCTTCTTATCATGACAAGAGTAAATGGTAGTGTCGTCAGCGAATAATGCCACCTTAGATGTGAGAATATCTGGAAGTTCGTTAATGTAAATTAAAAAGAGTATAGGGCCAAGGATTGAACCTTGAGGAACCCCTGAAGTTACAGGATGTGAAGAAGAGTGTTGTCCATCGAGGACAACTTTTATACTACGATTGGAAAGAAAGGACTCAATAATCTTAAAGATGTTACCAGCTACACCATAAGAAGAAAGCTTATGGAGAAGACCAGCATGCCAAACTTTATCAAAAGCTTTAGAAATGTCAAGTGCGATAGCCTTAACCTCTCCACCTCTATCTAATGCACGGTAAAACCTATCGGTTATTACTGTTAGCACATCAGCTGTAGAACGAGAAGACCGAAATCCATATTGATGATCATAAAGTAAGTTATTTGATTCAAGATGAGAGATTAAGTGTTTGTTGATTAAAGATTCAAAAACCTTGCTTATGACAGGAAGAAGACTAATGGGACGGTAGTTAGATGAATCAGATCGCTCTCCAGAATTTTTGAAAATAGGAATAACAGATGCTGCTTTCCAGCATGATGGAAAACAAGACTCTGATAAGCACTTGTTAAATAGTTTTGAAAGTATGGATGAAAGCTCCGGAGAACACCTCTGCAAGACTACAACAGGAATGTTGTCAGGACAGAAGCTGAAGTGATGCGAATGTCAAGCAAGGGATCAACCTGTTTGACAGCTATGTCAGGTAAAACGCAACTAGTGGAATCGAGAGATGATATTGATGAAAAGTTCTTAGCAAACAATTCAGCTTTGTCTTTAGGTGAGGTGACAAAGTCTGAACCATACAAGAGAGAAGGAATAACAGATTTGCCCTTATTATTGATACTGTTAAAGATTCTCCAGAAGTCTCGAGAGCCTAATTTTTGTGATGAGATACGAGATTTAATGACCTGAGAATAGCGAGCTTTGGCGTCAGACAAAACCTTTTTACAATGGTTTCTGGCGATAGTGAACAGATGTCTGTTTTCTGGAGAATTGTTTTGCTGATAGATATGGAAGTAACGGTTTCGATTAGAAATTGCTGCAGCGCAATGTGAGGAAAACCAAGGAGAAGAGTGAGGCTTGACCTGGAATCGTCGAGAGGGAATAAAAGATTCCATGCCAGCCTGAATCCACGAAGTTATGTAAGAAGCACATTTGTCAGCAGGAAGACAAAAGATTTCTACCCAAGGGCCATCACGAAGAAAATCACGGAAAGAGTCCCAGTCAGCTTTAAGGTAGTTGTATGTGGTACGATGATAGGGGGATTCTGATGAAGTAGAAGAATTTGATAATAGTTTTAGAGAGATCAAACCGTGATCAGAAGTACCTAAGGGTGAATGTGGAGAAATTGAGCACTGACTAGGATCCAAAACAAGACATAAGTCGAGTAGAGAAGGTAAATGATTAGGGTTGTCTGGAAAACGAGTTGGAAAGTTGACTATTTGAGTTAGAGATTGAGAAAGGCAAAAGTTGAGAGCCTTAACGCCAGCAGAGTCACTGACACTAGAGCCAAGCCAATCGGTGTGATGGGCATTAAAGTCACCAACAACGACGATATTGGCCGATGGATAAAGAGAGAGGGCTTAGTCAATTTGATCAGAAATAGCATCAAGAATAGTGCAATCTTGGGATGAAGGAGAGCGATATAGAACAAAGAGAAAGGCGATAGAGTGAAGTTGTGCTAAACGAAAGCACATAAATGAATAGTCTGTAGATTCAAACCTAGTTTCACGACAAATGGGTGAGTTCTTACGAATGTAGATGCCCAGGCCAAGCATGTGATTATTGGAGTCTTTACGAATTAAAGGAAGATAACCATCAACACTAAGATCACAAGATGGGACAGCCGAACTCAAATTAGTCTCACAAAGAGCAAGTAGGTCTGGTGAACTTTGCAAGAGATAAGACTCAACAGAAGAAAAGTTACTTCGAAGACCACGAATATTATTAAATGATAGGTTTAGAGAACTTGGTGATGACGATGGTTTTTTGTGTTTTTTAGTTTTAGGTACTTTAGTCATTTTGAATTTATAAAGAACTTGACTCAAGTATAGATAGTACTCAGTACACTATTTAACAACTAAGCAATAGCCTAAATATATATATATATATATATATATATATATATATATATATATATATATATATATATATATATATATATATATATAACCTAAATATATATATATATATATAACCTAAATATATATATATATATATATATATATATATATATATGTATATGTATATATATATATATATATATATATATATATATTAAAACTCTTGGCAAGTACACTAAAATTTAAACTTATACAAAACAGGGTATACCTGATTGACCAGAGAGCCAGAATAAGCAAATCAAGACTGACATTAACCGTCTTTATCGCAATTTTCAAGGAAAATCAGTCATCCTTGACGACGAGTCTGTCATACTCAATGATAAACAGAAACAGCACCTACTACACTGCCACTACGCTGTCACTCTCAATGATAAACGAAAACAGCACCTACTACTCTAGCAACAAACACAAGACTCCACCAAGCGTTAAATTTTGAAAAAATGGTAAGTTTGAACCCAAGCTGCTCGAACCTGGTCTCATCGCATTATGCCAAAACTGTGACCAACTGCTATGAGACTCATAACACCAATTTTGTCAAAAAAGTCAACAATACGCTAGCTGTTCTGAAGTGCCGCCCAATTGAAGACTTTTGGGATATTTTGAAAGACAAAGTGTATGAGAGTAACTGGCAAGCAAAAGACGTGAAGCAACTACAAACCAGAAAAAAGCTTTGTCTAAAAAAAATTGACCTTAACCTTGTATTTTCACTTTTTGGGTCAACTCGTATTAGAATTGATCGAATCCAAAGAAACAGACTGGTTGAAGACAAACTTAATTTAATTAAATAAATAACTAAAAACTCTTAATAAAATTTTATTTAATATCTATAATAAAAAGCACAACCGTTTTTTAACATTTCCCTTTAAAAAATATTATCTAATATTGCAAAAAACATACCATTTGTAAAACAGCTTCTTTTATTTCACTTATGTCAAAAAAAGTGCTTGATGCGTTTCTGAGAAGTTGTGCATAATAATGCTTATTTTGATAAAAATATTATTTTTACAGACCTTTCTTTTGAGGGTTAAGCAATATTTGATTTTATTGTTAAAGATATGTCTTATCAGCATTACTTCATCAAGTGATAATTATTTTTAATATCAACATAATCTAATAAGCAAGCTATGAAACTGAATTCTTTCTAAAAACTCTCTTCTAAGGCAGAACTCTCTTCTGGGGTAGAACTTAAAATGTAAATATAAAGAATGCCTGCACAGTAGGCAAACATGCAACAAAACCATCAAATAATCTGAGCTGTGAAATTTGTAAAGAAAATGTTCTATGAAAGGTGTACCCCCAACAATTTTAGTGAGGGTGCAGTTGTGCCTCAAAACTGTTTTTTTCACCAAGTGTGCTTTTTGTGTAATGCAACTTTTTTCAAAAACCATTATATTTTTTTCCTATATGCAACAATTTAA